ACAGGGGCGGGGCCAGACCATAGCACTAATCCTAGTAGCATGATTATGCATGTCTCGCCATGTCCGCTATGTGTGTTGGGGGTTACATAGTGGGGATCTTGATCAATTGTGAGTTCGTTCAAAGTTCTTCTATTTGGACATCACTTTCATATTAACCTTGCCCGGGATATATAAGAAGAAAATATGGTTACAATAACATATTTTTTTTCTTTCTTGAATCTTACTATACGTTTATGAATTAAATCTTCAGTCATTCGCCTTTCCTGCTGTTAAATTACAATCGATTTAAATACAACAAATATTAAAAATTGCACATGGTACAAAAATATGATGAAGATCCCCGAGTGTCAGTATTTGTGTTAATCAAAATGTAACATAATCCCAAGTAAAGAGATGTGAACCCTCCGTACAAACTTGACGTGATTTCCTGATAAGGAATCCCGTTGATCTCCCAGAAGTTGCTTAGCCCTTTATATCGACGGGAGGGTTTACAAAGAGCGTTTGATAATGAGAAGATAATTTCCTTTCAAGAAAAAAACATCTGATTTGTATCTACTTCACCTAATATAACAACGTAACGATTTCATCTCAACGGCGGTGTGGGGTATAGACTTGTATATAAACAGTGATACTTGAGGGAGGTAACCAAACATAGAAAGCTCCATAGATGTTCAATCTAATGCTGATTATCAATCGTACATTGTTTTTCGAAAAATCCTTTAAACTTTTTAAATACTTGAGACAATTTGTGCAAAGAACATGAGTGATTTTGTGTATAGAACGTAAGTGAGTGTTACCCCTTGATTTTCGTGTAGAGAACGTTAGTGAGCGTTACCCTTGATTTTGTGTAGAGAAAGTTAGAGAGTGTTACCCCTTGATTTTGTGTAGAGAACATTAGTGAGCGTTACCCCTTCATTTTGTGTATAGAACATTAGTGAGCGTTACCCCTTCATTTTGTGTATAGAACGTAAGTGAGTGTTACCCTTGATTTTGTGTATGGAACGTAACTGAGTGTTACCCCTTGATTTTGTGTATAGAATGTTAGTGAGCGTTACCCCTTGATTGTTGTGTATAGAACGTTAGTAAGTGTTACCCTTGATTTTCGTGTAGAGAACGTTAGTGAGCGTTACCCCTTGATTTTGTGTATAGAAAGTTAGTGAGTGTTACCCCTTGATTTTGTGTAGAGATCATTAGTGAGCGTAACCCCTTGATTTTGTGTAGAGATCATTAGTGAGCGTTACCCCTTGATTTTGTGTATAGAACGTAAGTGAGCGTTACCCCTTGATTTTGTGTAGAGATCATTAGTGAGCGTTACCCTTGATTTTGTGTATAGAACGTAAGTGAGTGTTACCCTTGATTTTGTGTAGAGAACTTAAGTGAGCGTTACCCCTTGATTTTGTGTAGAGAACGTAAGTGAGTGTTCCCCTTGATTTTGTGTAGAGAACGTAAGTGAGCGTTACCCCTTGATTTTGTGTAGAGAACGTAAGTGAGCGTTACCCCTTGATTTTGTGTAGAGAACGTTAGTGAGTGTTACCCCTTGATTTTGTGTAGAGAACGTAAGTGAGCGTTACCCCTTGAATTTGTGTATAGAACGTTAGTGAGTGTTACTCCTTGATTTTGTGTAAAGAACGTAAGTGAGCGTTACCCCTTGATTTTGTGTATAGAACGTTAGTGAGTGTTACCCTTGCTTTTGTGTAGAGAACGTAAGTGAGCGTTACCCCTTGATTTTGTGTATAGTGGGTTAGTGAGTGTTACTCCTTGATTTTGTGTAAAGAACGTAAGTGAGCGTTACCCCTTGATTTTGTGTATAGTGGGTTAGTGAGTGTTACTCCTTGATTTTGTGTAAAGAACGAAAGTGAGCGTTACCCTTTGATTTTGAGTATAGAACGTTAGTGAGTGTTACTCCTTGATTTTGTGTAAAGAACGAAAGTGAGCGTTACCCTTTGATTTTGAGTATAGAACGTTAGTGAGTGTTACTCCTTGATTTTGTGTAAAGAACGTAAGTGAGCGTTACCCCTTGATTTTGTGTATAGAACGTAAGTGAGCGTTACCCCTTGAATTTGTGTATGGAACGTAAGTGAGCGTTACCCCTTGATTTTGTGTAGAGAACGTTAGTGAGTGTTACTCCTTGATTTTGCGTAAAGAACGTAAGTGAGCGTTACCCCTTGAATTTGTGTATGGAACGTAAGTGAGCGTTACCCCTTGAATTTGTGTATGGAACGTAAGCGAGCGTTACCCCTTGATTTTGTGTAAAGAACGTAAGTGAGCGTTACCCCTTGATTTTGAGTATAGAACGTTAGCGAGTGTTACTCCTTGATTTTGTGTAAAGAACGTAAGTGAGCGTTACCCCTTGATTTTGTGTATAGAACGTAAGTGAGCGTTACCCCTTGATTTTGTGTATGGAACGTAAGTGAGCGTTACCCCTTGATTTTGTGTATAGAAAGTTAGTGAGCGTTACCCCTTGATTTTGTGTATGGAACGTTAGTGAGCGTTACCCCTTGATTGTTGTGTATAGACATTAGTGAGCGTTACCCCTTGATTTTGTGTATAGAACGTTAGTGAGCGTTACCCCTTGATTGTGGTGTATAGAACGTAAGTGAGCGTTACCCCTTGATTTTGTGTAGAGAACGTAAGTGAGCGTTACCCCTTGATTTTGTGTAGAGAACGTTAGTGAGCGTTAGCCCTTGATTTTGTGTAGAGAACGTTAGTGAGCGTTACCCCTTGATTTTGTGTAGAGAACTTTAGTGAGCGTTACTCCTTGATTTTGTGTAGAGAACGTTAGTGAGCGTTACCCCTTGATTTTGTGTATAGAACGTTAGTGAGCGTTACCCCTTGATTTTGTGTAGAGAACGTAAGGGAGCGTTACCCCTTGATTTTGTGTAGAGAACGTAAGTGAGCGTTCCCCCTTGATTTTGTGTAGAGAACGTTAGTGAGCGGTACCCCTTGATTTTGGGTAGAGAACTTTAGTGAGCGTTACTCCTTGATTTTGTGTAGAGAACTTTAGTGAGCGTTTCTCCTTGATTTTATGTAGAGAACGTTAGTGAGCGTTACCCTGAATGTTTTGTCGGTGTTTAAAACGTCCGTGAGCGTACGTTATCCCTGGAATTTCGAGGATGATTTGAGAGATATATAAATTGAACACCTTTTAAATTTCTAGCAAGTGTTCTATCAACATGTAAACCACTCAAATAGACTATACAATACAAAGATATACCATAAATTAATACAATATTTATGAAATTTTAGGATTTCGCATGAGCAACACCTTATTAGGCGCTAGACTAATTGTCCTGTGCTTCCTGGATAAATTCCGTTTATAGGTCCTATGTTCAAATGATATGTTTTATTTCAAATTGCTATTTTTCTTTTCACCAAAGTCTAAATTTCAAGAAAAAGTTAAATATTCTACATGCATACGTGTCTGATTATACAGAAATCTTTACATCTTCCTATTTGTGTATAAATTATATTCACATAGGGAAGGTATACGTCTATATTGTTATGATGTCCCTGTATCATACATACCTCACGATTTTGGTGTATTTCAGTGTAAGATGCTGTTTTTTATGATGTATGTCATTTTCTCGTACTGCACGATTAATGAGTATTTCATTGTAATGCACTGTATTGTTATCACGTGCGCCAGTATACAATATGCATACTATTGTCTTTGACTATCAATTGTATATACTTTACTATTTGTATGTCATTGTATTTCTACTCTCCAATGTGTCTTTTAAACAAGGCATACAATAATCTGAATCTGAATCTGACGATTTCGCCTAAAATAGGTAAATGACTTTTATACTTCTCGGAAAAAAGCTAACAAGACTTGATTGAGAAAGGCCGCGCAGCAGATAATTAACGACATATAATGTATAAGTATAAAGCTCACGAATATGACATCAACGATATGTCATCTTTTAACCACCCTAATAATGTAAAGGGCCCACTCGTTGTAACACCTGGCCTCACGGTCGTGTAATCGAGGCAGATTATCACTAAATCACGGCGTTTTAAACTTCAACACAAAGCACAATGGTAAACATTTACCCATCACAAGTACATGACCCTGAATGATCAATGAAAAATTCGCCGGGGGCCCGCGGCGGGGTAATCCATCACCATAACTATTATCTTGAGTGTCGTCTGTTTCATGTCAAAATTAATGTAGACACTATATATATATATACAAAAACATGCGTTCATACTATTAACTGATTATTTTCTTACGCTACCAGGGACTCTTGGTCTAATCGGTCTGGGCTGTACATATCTTACAGTTCTACATGCAGAAGTAATGTATATAAAGAGAATTGTGATTATCAAATTATACGTATTTATAACTTTACTATTTATTGTATTTTTTAGAACTTTGTAAAAAAATCATGAAATAATTTTTTTAAGAATTTTGCACAAAAAACACCAGATATAATATATTAAGTAATATACAAACAAAATAAATTTCTTCCCAAAAAAGAAAAGTGAAAATAAAAGTTCATTTTTAAAAGAACGATGATGCGTCTTTCTCAAGCGTATACTTTAACTTGGTATACAATTTCAAAAACGGATTTTTTTTATCCAAGAACATTATATACAAAATATCGTTGTTTATCAAAAAACTTCGTGTGTCCAGGAAATGTATTTATACAAAAGCACATTATATATGCAATTTTATATATATATATAATTTTCCAAGAACGTCGTTTACAAAATACATTTACATGTATACAATAATTCCCCGGTATACCGCCATGATGTTGTTAGAAACGTTTTAATATCGCCATCACCCTCATATCGCCATCCGCCAACCATTTTCAAATACAAAACTGTTTTATCAACCCTTAACTTTTCTAATTGTACATTCAAAAGCTTTTATCATTTTATACATCAACCACAGAATGAGATTATCTAAATCCTTGTCATCAAAATCATGACATTTTTATTTATCAACACAAACAATAACTTAGTTGTGCCGTTGTTACCGTCATATTACTCACCGTGGTTCACAAAACTCATGATGACGTCACTACCCTCAGTGGGTTCGATCTCATTCTCGATTGTGACGTTTCGGGGGAACTGAGGCCGATTCCCGTCATCCACTATCCCTCCGTCCGAGGTTATCGAATTGTACAGATTTAGCATGAATCTTGGAGCGGAGTAATCCGTGGTACTATGCCCCGCAGGTTTTGGACGGTGATGCAGCCCTAAAAGAGTCAAAATTTCATGCTGCATCTCCCGTTTATCCCTACCAGAAAATTCAGCCGTCCGTTCCGTTCTGTCCACTCCGTTGTCCCTATACACTCCGGACACTGTGGCAGTGGTCAAGCGCACGTATGAAATACACACCATTAGTAAAACCGAGACAGCAGATCGAATCTCCATGATGGTTGTTCAACTAGGTCTATTTATAAACACATCCCTGAACACAGATCTATGCGTATCTAAATATAACGGGAAGTTAACTCCTCAATTTATACATTAAACATTACACGATACCACACAGATGTACAAACGGTAAGAAAGCAGACGATTATCACCGGCGTACACCGATCGAGTGCACCCAGTGTCTGGGTTAGTGAAATAATTACCCCCTCCTGCACTTTATGTCCCCCTAATCATGTACATTGTACGTCCGGTCTGTGTGTTAGTCACCTCCCAAACTGACACAGGTGTTTGTAAATCCACGTGTAGGAGTTTCGGTGAACACAAATGTCGGCTGCTTTGATGTTGACGAGATTTTATGATAACAGGTATAGCTCACACACACACTGCCAGCTCGGCGCACCTGACAGTTTCTACTACAGTGTATATGTATACATTCCAATGTGCCAGGTCGTGTTATTCTTTGTGCGCCGAAGTGAGCTAACTTTCCTACGCATGGGCAGTAAGGTTTACAAAACTTCCTATGGGGCTCACTGCGGGTTACCTCCCAAAAATTATTTACCCGTGACTCCTGAGTGACATACGCATTGTATCTCTCTCAAAGATGTTGTCAACATGAACTCAATCAGTCTCACGATACGGATGGTGTGGCCCTTATGGAGACAGGAAGGGGCCCATTGCCACCGAGAAATCCAACTTGCATTATAAAAATTGACAAAAAGAAAATTACGTCAAAATCCATAGCAAGATTAGTCAGCTTTGCCTGATCACAGTGTTACAGGAGAGGGAAATTGCACGGTCAGACTGAGAATTGACCCCGGGACCCTCCAAACTCTGGACAGACGCTTTACCAAAAAATAACTGAGCTACCTGGGCGCCGAAGATTGAACCAGTCGAGTCATGTTCCGCTGCATCCCTCCGTCGTTTTTCTTACTCTTCGCCCCCGGAGACACAACTATTTTTACAACCCAGGTTTGGGTACCACTGTAACAGGAGCATGTAAAATGCACGGTCAGATCGGGGTTCGAACCATACAGGGATCATCCGAACTCAAGACGGACGCTCCACCAACTGAGCCACCCGGTCGCCGACGTCGAACCAGTCGAGTCCATTTCCGCTACAACAGTGCGACATTACTGTGTCACTAGTCAGGTCCTGTTTCGCCCCATCTTCATTTGACAGCACACGACTGCGCCGAGTACGCCAATCTTAAGAACTTATATCTTAGACAATAAAAGATACATCATCATCATCATCATCATCATCATCATCATCATCATCATATAAACCTAAATAATGTCGCTTTAAGAAATAAAGTCATGTCACAACCTCACAAGGGTTCAAAATCACTTATAGAGAACGAGGCGATACGTTCCTGTGCGCTTTTGTCTCATGGGAATACTTCCTCACTCGGAAAATAAATGTCGTACATTCTAATCGACGCACACGGACAGACATGTTCTTTTTATTGGCAGAGCCGATTCAGGATAGATTGTACTCGTTCCACTGCTAACAAATACACCTGTAACTATACTTTAGAAACATTTCCCATATAAATTTTGACAATTTAAAAGAAAACCATATCTTACGGAACTTTTTTGAAAATGAAAATATCAAAAACAATGATCGATAATAAAAATGAAATATAACCACACAGAAATAACAGTGTTTGGAATATAAAAATCCAACTAGACCAAACCAGGATTCGAACTATGGACCTCCAATCAAAAAAATAATGTTGCTCTAACCAAATGAATTACGTGGTCTGCACTCTACAGATTATTGTCTGCAGCGAGACAGGGATCCTTGATATTATTTTGGTGATTTCAATTTAGACGAAGAGGGTCCTCCATGAAAAAAAACCTCATCGAGTTTGACGTCTTGGACCAGAGAAATATCTTAAATTCCTCAACAGGGATAAACACTAACTATTTCTGCTTGGTAGTCCACAGGACAAGTTGAATAGATTATTTAAAATGTAGTAGTTCTTCGTCAATGCATTACGTATAACTACACGTAGTCTAATATTCCTGATAAGTAAACATTGCGATCTACAGCACGAAATATCAAAAGTAATCGACTGTAGAGGATATAAAACAACTAGATAAACTACTGCCATAACATTATGGTGTAGTTTTAGGAACATTTTGACAATTATCATGCAATAGAAGCAGTTTTCGAATTTTAAAAATGTTTTCTTATTTTATAATCATATTTTTCACAAGTTTAAAGGACAAGTTAGGTTCTAGGTGATTCACTATAGTCCTTGCTGAAATCTACTAGTCCAGGACTAGCGGACAAGTGTTAGTGTTGACCCCTGCTCAAAATGATTGCATCTTGCTTTTTCAGTCGTTCCCTCGGCCGCCTAAGGGGAAGTAAATCGTATTACCGTATTGGCCGTTTTCGTTTATCGCGATCCAAACGGTTGGACCAGTTGTAAGGTCGTACCTAATAGCCTGACGCTATTTTCAGGCGAACCTTCACAAAGCCTTGCAGGGCCTCTATAAAGTTCGCCAGGATTTACACCCGAAAATGTTACATTTATAAAAACGAACAGGCCCCTTCTTTCAGATACAAGGTGGTAGACTCTGCTGGTGGAGTTTTTAGTCCCCGAAGTTTGCTGTAACCTTGATTTTCACATTTATATCTTTTCAGTAGTGGCATGGTTCATAACACACCCACTTTGTTAATTCATTTGAAATTAAACACTACTCTAAATTTTTGAAATTCATAAATTAAGGGTATTATGCACCTAAATTCCGTTCTGTTTCAACAGTAGTATAGACCAATTTGGATTTCCATCTTTTTGGCCCCTAACATAGGGACCTGATAATTTGTTACAGCTATATTTGGACCTAAACTAAGGTGTTCAGAGTTATTTTACATGATTTAGGGGATTAGATCGACTTTCGGTAAAAATGACACCCCCAATGATCATATATATTTGTACGATCAATGGGGGTGTCATTTTTACCGAAAGTCATTACTCTGAACACCTTAGTTTAGGTCCAAATATAGCTGTAACAAATTCTCAGGTCCCTGTGGCCCCTATCTTTAGTGGTACAATCACACGTGTGTGTGTTACGTTGATCTTCTTATGTCGTGCTTCTGGTGGTACTGTTAGACACCATTTGATCTAATATAACACGTAATGAAGTCGAGTGGAGTCGTATTGAAGTCGAGTCGTAATGAAGTCGAGTCATAATGAAGTCGAGTGGAGTCGTAACGAAGTCCAGTCGTAATGAAGTCGAGTCGTAATGAAGTCGAGTGGAGTCGTAACGAAGTCCAGTCGTAATGAAGTCGAGTTGTAATGAAGTCGAGTTGAGTCACCGTATATAGTGTACACGAACACAATTGAACTAAAAGCAGGATGCAACCGCGTTTTTTCCGATTTATGTTGATTGCTTTAGTTGATTGAGCATGAAATGTGACAAAAAAAGTTATTTGATAAAGTCTAACAAAAGTACCGCGGGGCGGAACAAAATACGCCCGTCGAATGTCATATAGTGTTATATACTTTCTTACATTGAAATAAGATATGCATCAATCTAAGAGTGGTTAGCTGACATGCTATAAAAAATGTATGGGAAAATCTCCGGATATAAAATCAAATACTGAAATGAACAAAGGGCAATAACTTTTGGAAATTAAATTAAATAAATCTTTAACTGTGCATTTACAACGTGTTTGTCTACTTTTTTAAAATTAAATTAAAGAAATTGTGCACGTTTTTGCATAAACCGCTTCGCGGATTTATGCAAAGTGCGCAATTTTTTTCGGTATATACCGTATATACCAAAAAAGAATCTTGGTCATTCCTGAAGTATATAAAAAAAATCTGTAAAACAAAACAAAAGTTTACAGATTGTTATACATGATTTACATTATGTAGTCTATATTGAACGTCAGATATATATATTGTCCACCATTTCAACTCATGGTTCAAGACAATTCCACGATAGACACCATATCATTACCATTCGCGCCTATTTCATAAATGTAATGCGTTAATGTTGCAGTTGTAAAGATATCGGTCCTCAATATCCGGATCCATAATACTGCTTCACGGTTTTAAATTTAGAAACTAATATTGTTTTCTTACAGCGTTTCTCATTGGACACTATTATTTTGGAGTTTGCATATCAACAAATCGGCGTTAGTGTTATATACACGGAACTGCTCCATGTTTTCCTTTGCGAAATTGATGCGTTCGACGGTAAGCATGCTCAATAACTTAATAATCAAACGCAACTCAAGGATAATGACAAGTTCCTTCGTTTTTTGAAATCCAACAGACCATCAATTGTGTTAATATTGGCACAATCCACTGAACGTGCGTAACTTTTCTGTAAGATGATAACGACACAACAGCCGGCCAGCGCACACTGGCACAACCACAGTGCTGAAGTGGTCATTCCATCCGGGATTTCATTTATCATTTGTGAATTATTACAAAAATGGTTGTTTTGTGCTCTCCGACAAAATTGTCTTTTATAATGTATATTTTGTCAGTCTTGTTTGTATATGTTTTCAATGATGACAAATAAAATGTACGTGACGGTAGATCTAGATTAGTATATTGAATGTGTAGGGAAACTGGACTGAATCAATCTTTGCTGACCAGGTAGCTCAATTGGTAGAGTGTCCTCCAACAGTTGGAGCGTCCCAGGTTCGAACCCCAGTCTCGCCATGCATTTTTCCACTCCTGTTACCAGGTCGGGGAAAACCACTAACTTGCGTATAATACGCAAACTCGCCTATTATACGCCAATCGGGGTATGGATTTGTTACTAAAAATAGCCAAAATCACTTAAATCTTATTTTTTTCACATTGTTTGTCCAAGTCGCATTTATTCAGTCATGAAACATAATACAAATACAAGACTTAGAAAAAAAGGAGGGAGGAATGTAGCATAACTGGACTTGGTCGATTGAAGTTCAATTGGTAGAGCGGTCGCCTATAGAGTTTTGAGGGTCCCGCGTTCGAACCCCGATCGGGCCGTGCATTTATACACTCCCGTAACACATGTTACATCTTTATCATTTCAGATCAATGATCCAGATGTACAGCGGATACAAGTTTCTCTCATCAATGAAATGGTTCTGTTGAACTGAAGTCACGATTCATTTTGATTCTCAGGATGACCTCAGCCTGAAAACAGGGATTCCAGGACTATCTTCATCTTCATTAAATTAACAACTGTCACAATGTCTTTGTCAGACAGAGAATGGGATGATCTGAAGGCATTGCTGGATAAAACTGTGCAGAAATTCCTTGGTTTCAGTGAGACATCCCTGGTCACTGCAGCTCTCAACTGTATAGATAAGGGTTACGACAAACACAAAACTGTCGGTAAGTTCCAGCATTTATCATGGCTTATGTGCAGAATGGGATAACAAGTTACAGGATTGGTGGATGAAAAGCATCAGTTTTACAATGATTTATAGACAGAACAGGAATATTAAATTAGGGGTACCAGGGTTCCTTCCTGTATTTGAATATATGTATATATTGTTATATATTTGAGGGCAGCATTTTCCCTATCACATTCAGAATTTGGATGTCTTAATACCTTTGCAACATTAACAGAAGGGACGTAACTCAGTGTTTTTCTGTGTGATATTTTGGTAAGGCCAAAAATAAAATTTCTTCTGTTTCTGCTATCAATCCTGTGAAAAGGTAGGGTAGGAAGCTAAGGAAGGCATCTTGTTTCTATTTTAGAAAATATTTCTAATATATGCTTATATAGAACAGGAGTTCTGACTTTTACAGTAATATCATTAAATGTCTATAAAAACTTTAGAGTAGGCACAAAAATCTAGGGTTGGTAGGGTTAGCTGAAACACAAGATTTTATTTATGTGCCCTTAGCATTTGAGTTTAGCTCCATTAACCTTACTATCAGATACCTGTAATATGTGATATGGACACATCTTTGTCAGTGAGATAAACTACATTTATACACCAAGGTATACTTTATAGGTAACTGTGACTGGGTGACCTATATTTATGCTTCACTGACTTTTGTGAAGCTTTTGCAATTAGCTCAATTGCCCTCAAAGTGGGAATAGGGGCATAATGTATATTTCACCAAAAGAAATCAATTTATTTCTCAATTTGATGGGGAGGGGGGGGGGGAATCCAAGATTAAAAAAGATTGCTATATAACATCCATACTGTTTTTGTTTTGATAGAAAAAAAGTAAATGGTTCTGTTATAGTACATGCACAATGTAGCTCTATTGCAGAGTACTTACCGTAAAAACCCATGTAATTTGCGCACCTGTGTAATTTGCGCAGGTACTTTTTGAGGCTGAAAATCGGGAAAAAAGGTTCTACTCGAATATTTTGCGCACCCAAAAAATCTGGAAAAAAAACGATGATCATGCTCCGAAAATCGATCTCTGAATATATATTTTTTTNAGGTTCTACTCGAATATTTTGCGCACCCAAAAAATCTGGAAAAAAATCGATGTTCATGCTCCAAAAATCGATCTCTGAATATATATTTTTTTGAATATATTTCTATGATTTTTTTTTCATTGATGTAAAATGATATTTAAAACCAAGAAGAAACTACGTAAAATGTGTATTTTGTTGCTTGTTTTCTTCGAATTATCTGATCACACATGACACACACGTGTGCGCATATCGGCATACATCAATTCATTTTAGCAATATTTTACATAAAACATTTACTTGCTTACAAAAACATATCAATTAATAAGTAATTCGATGTTTATTAACCGCTGGTGCATATCTCCTGTTGAAAGACATAATTAGATACCTTTTATTGATCATAATTACAATCAGTGAGAAGGGCTCATCATGGCGGCTTGGGTTACGTTACTTCAAACCAGGTCATGTCACAGTTCAGTTTGGCCACGGAATTAGAATATCAAAGTCCGTAGTTTGGCGATATTTCTTTACAAATTACAATGCAGTAATGAGCTAACACTATCTCTGTGATTACCCGTTAACAATAGCTCTACTAATTGAAATGATTTGCAGTCGCGATCGACGGACCGTGTTGTTGTTTTTTTCACTCGCCAACACGTGGCGTGAATTACGAAGCCCTACTGCATTGTCATAACTACAGACTGATTTGACTGATAAGGGATTATAAAAAATATGTTTATACTAGAAGCGTGGACAATCAATACATCCTCTTCAAATCTACTCCAAGGAAAAAAATAGTTAACGCAGACTATTTTTACGATGCTTCATTTAATAAATATTGAAATAATTCACGAGGTTATTATCAATCACGTGTTTACGTAATGTTAGACGCGAGATCAACATGAAAGTGAGCCGGAAAAAAACCATGCTATACGTATACGCATAGGCGATTTGAAAAAACTTACAGAACTTACATAGAACGGAGCTTAAATTGAACAACTACATTTTCGTAATAGTATGGGGAAACGCACCGAGATGTCGAAACGTAATGTCGTAAGTTGATCGGCGATTCTCTGGCATAGGAATTTGGCTAAACTTTTTTTGTTAACGGTTACCTATTTATTAATACTTTTCACATAAACTCACATAACAACACATTATGTATCTTTTATTAATGTTTGACATAAATAAATTTGTTGATCGTCATTTGTCTTAGAGTTCCGTGTACCAAGGGACATAATCCAAGATGGCGATCTCTCAGAATCGTCGATCTTTTCCTGAAAAAAACTTGAATTTTTCTATACCTGTGTATTTTACGCACCCCTCACTTTGGGTATTAAATTTCTGAACAAAAAGTGCGCAAATTACATGGGTTTTTTACGGTACATTGAAAAAAATCACATTTTGGTGTGTGTTTTAAATTGAAGAAAAAAACCTGTCAAAATAAAATGAGAGGTGGTTAATTTTGGCGTTGATCAGGAAAAAATGCAAGGAAGGTGATACTTCCACAAATATCAAAATCAGTTATTTTTTTATTTTAGTTTTGCATATTTCTTCATGTGATTTTGTTTTTTACAGATAAACTGCTGGTGATCCTAGATGAAGGTCAGGCAAAGCGCTTCGCTGACAAGTTGTTTGGAGTGTGGGACGATTACAAAGCATCCAACAGAAATGCCAGGAAAAAGAGGAAGGTACAAATTACTGGGAAAATGACAATAGACTGGTTTAGTTAACCCTTTCACCCCTATGTAACTTTAGTAGACTCTACCATGCATTGATATGGATGAGTTCATTATGGTCTACAGTGGTGAAAGGGTTAATCACTATTTCACATCTACTGTGAATGCTTTGATTTTACAGATTAGCTTTGACTGGACCAAATGCATATCAAAGTACAAACATGAATCCTATCCATGGGGCATAGCTTTGTGTTTTGATTAAGGCTGTCATGGGTACAGTATTTCAGCCCCTACCTAAAGTACCTGCAATTGTGATAATAAAATCCACTATCTGTAACAATGACTCTTAACAAGTGTTTTGCTGTGAAAGAAACAGTTCATGTGGCTGGCTGTTGAACATTTTATGGTGTTTTTTTTTACTTGGACAGTAACAGACATTTCTTGTTTTGACGGATACCCCATTACACTTTTTCCAACCTCGTTTCCTATAAAACATCTCCCATATTCAGGTAACCAGGTACTCATTGTAGCCCTATATTTAATACATGTAGTATAACAGCCCTAGGTTTAATACATGTAGTATAACAGCCCTAGATTTACTACATTTAGTATTTCAGCCCTAGGTTTAATACATTTAGTATTACAGCCCTAGGTTTAATACATGTAGTATAACAGCCCTAGGTTAAATACATGTAGTATAACAGCCCTAGGTTAAATACATGTAGTATAACAGCCCTAGGTTTACTAAATTTAGTTTAAAAGCCCTAGGGTTACTACATTTAGTATAACAGCGCTAGGTTTACTACATTTAGTATTACAATTTACAGCCCTATGTTTAATACATTTAGTATAACTGCCCTAGATTAACTACATTTAGTACTACAGCCCTAGGTTTAATACATTTAGAATAACAGTCCTAGATTAAATACATTTAGTATAACAGCCCGAGGTTTAATACATTTAGTATAACAGCCCGAGGTTTAATATATTTAGTATAACAGCCCTAGGGTTAATACATTTAGTATAACAGTCCTAGATTCAATACATTTAGTATAACAGCCCCAGGTTTAATACATGTAGTATAACAGCCCTGGTTTTAATACATGTAGTATAACAGCTCTAGGTTTAATACATTTAGTATTATAATTCACAGCCCTAGGTTTAATACATGTAGTATAACAGCCATAGGTTTAATACATTTAGTATTATAATTCACAGCCCTAGGTTTAATACATGTAGTAAAACAGCCTTAAGTTTAATACATGTAATATAACAGCCCTAGGTTTAATGCATTTAGTATAACAGCCCTAGATTTACTACATTTAGTATAACAGCGCTAGGTTTAATACATGTAGTAAAACAGCCTTAAGTTTAATACATGTAATATAACAGCCCTAGGTTTAATGCATTTAGTATTACAGCCCTAGATTCAACACATTTAGTATAACAGCCCTATATTAACTACATTTAGTATTACAGCCCTAGGTTTAATACAGTTAGTATAACAGCCCTAGATTCAATACATTTAGTATAACAGCCCCAGGTTTAATACATTTAGTATAACAGCCCTAGGTTTACTACATTTAGTATTACAATTTACAGCCCTAGGTTTAATACATTTAGTATAACAGCCCTAGATTAACTACATTTAGTATTACAGCCCTAGATTAATTTACATGTAGTCGATAAATTTGCTTTGGAACCGTGCAAAATATCATGTGACGAATACATTACTAATCTGGTGGAGTTTTTGGCGTATGACACTATATTACCGTATTTATCTGGCAATAAGCCCATGCTTGGTAATAAATCTGCCAATTTATGAAATTGCGGTTAGTAAGAAATGGCAACAAAACATTTCCATTGTCCTGTAATAAGCCCCCCCCCATCCACCTACTTTCAGTCGTTGTTGGCCCCCTGGGCTTATTGCAGGATAAATACGGTAGTACATGTGTATCATGATACTTACTTCATAATTTTAAGGATGATCGCGATGAAGGAACAGAAACGAAGAAGAAAAGACGATTTGTAGACGATGGCCCCCCAGCAGCCATACCTGGACCAGGTAATCCAAGTCCTGGCCAGCTTACCACAGACAAGGTGGGTTCTAAATCGGCGAACTGTTCACCAGAGAAATCTTTGGATCTAGTCACAACAAGATTACACCTGTAGAGGATGATACCAAGAATGATTTAAAAATAACAATTTCAAGTTAACTTTTGTTGGGATTTACAAATGAATTACTTCATACAATAAGTGTAAGGGCTAGTCCATAATCTTGTGGGGTGAATGGGATGTACATATTGTAATATATTATGGATGGTGAGTTTAAAACCAGATCTGCCTACCATTCCTGATATTCAATAACATCATCACTTTAATTCTTTTATAAATAATACTGTGAGACTATTAATTAGATATTTGATGGGTGGTCGGGTCTCTGAAAGAAGTGCCTCCCAACCCTCCAATATGGTTATTTCTGGAACGGTCCTCAGAGCTGTCAATATACATTGGTGTTTGTTTTATGTATTTTTAATTGCAAAAGAATAGCAACATAGAATAGGAATAGATTGATAAAAATAGATATTTTCTTCTCTGTGGGATCCTTGTTCAGGTTAAATAGTACAGCAAGATGCAGTATTTTCTCAACATTTTGTAATGTGAGTGGATCAATATGTGTGCTGTATAATCTGTGTGGTATGCTACAAATCTGTTCATATTACAGAATGTTTTGCTTCCAGTAATCAAATATGATTTGTAAAATTTACTATTTGTTATGTTATAAAAACAACAAACTCACAATTTCATAATTTTTAGTACAAGTACAAATGCCTCATCCTCACCAATAGGGCCAATCATACAATAATGCACAATGTATCCTTATACATATTGGCAAATACATGTACCTGGATGACACTATACAGCAATCATGTGATAAAGTGTTCCAAGGTTGTCAACACAGCAATAACAATATCCTGTGACTACAGTGAGCAAATACATCTAATTTTGTAATTTCTTATGGAACAAAAGTATATTTTCATAGAACCCCCCCCCCCCAAAAAAAACCAACCCAAAAACCCCAATCAGTTCTTCATATATATATACGAGCATATATGGTAACAAAATTGTTAATCACAGATCAAAGAAATGATGCAGAATGCTCAGAAAATGATTGAAGAAAGAAAAACCCAGCTGATGGTGACCGTGCCCTCTGCTACCAAGGTTTGTTGTCACCTGACGCCAGTTTAATGATGAAAAAATCAGACTTGACCTAGCTGCTGTCTAGATCTAGTTGAACAGTTTCTCCAAAATTTGAAAATATTTTTTTTAAACTCATAATTTCATTCCGAGGAATAATTGTTCATTACTTAATTACCTGGTATGACAAATTCAAAATGAAAAAGCAATTTTAAAATTAAAAATTCTAACTGCTATGATACCATGTTCTTTCTAACTGATTATATAAACTTTCTACATCACTACATATTCATCAAATTTAAATGATGAAAACAGAGGAAATAAATGTGAATATCGGGTTGTACAATTCCACAAGCCCAACGCTAGTAACAAGTAAATTTCATGTTTCAAAATCTATCGACTGGTTAGAACTCTGAATATAAAATATACACCTAGTACAGGACTAAGCTTTTTCCGCAGTTAAACACTGTTTTTACCAATTTGAAAGGACAGTGATATTGGTCCCCATATAAAAGTAAAATCTTTCAGCCAGTAAACTTGTGTGTCTTTGTCTCCTTCAGCCATCAATGTCTCAGACACAGGTGCTGATGTCGGACGCCATGGAGAAGGCAAAGCGAGCAGCAGAGCTCCAGGCTATGATACAGAACAAGATGACAAGTCTCTCCGCAGCCGGGGTTCAGCTCCCTAATCTGTAAGCATTGTAGGGGTATTGGTGCAATTTATGTTGAACTTTGTAACAGTAATGAGTAATGCACCAACAATTATGAAAATGGTATGCAGAGAAAAAGAAATATAATAACATTCTATATCTTTTTATTGTGAAATTTTGTGGTTCACCATAGTTGTAAAAGTTATATCTAGGATATAAAAAAAAATGAGAAAAGAAAATGGTGATGGTTAAGAACAGCCTTGAAATGACTGGTACATATTAAAAACAAGAACAAGGAAAGTCAACGGGGGAGAATTTGAGAAGTGATCATGATCAAGTAAATGGTAGTTCTGGCCAACTTACGGTACCAGGTAAGTATTAAAGGGAAATTTGGCCATGATGAATATAAAATTTTCTGTTTAATACTGTTCTTACCAGCTTGATCTAGTGGCAAGTATCCCCGTACCACTGCCAAAAACTGTAACGAAGTGTTGGAAGCTGTTTTATCTGGCCTGACATTTTGAACAGAAAACCAATAACTTGTGGGACTTATATGAGAAATAGTAACAGTATTCAGAGTGTAAAACTTCAGTGGGGCTAGGCCACGATTCGAACCCCGGACATGTTATAATATCGCTCTAACTGACTGATTTACCTGGCCTGACCTGGCCCAACTCTGCTACAGTTATATCTAGACGGATATTAAGGGGAGGTTACTGTTTATATGAAAAACCCACAGAGCATTGGGACAGGGATCCTTAAGTATCCAACAGTCTTTTACAGTTGAACATTTGTGGTTTTTATGGTTGCTATGGAAACATGAATATAAACACAGCAAATTAGATTAAATTACTTTAAACAAAAACAAACCAAGTAAATGGCTTCAAAATACCCACAAACAATTCATGTTTATATACAGCACCAAACTGATGATATATCAAATCTGATGAACTCATTCACCCATAAAGTTACATTTGAACCTTACCAAATCAATGACTGGGCAAGTCCAGTTGAAATATATAGGGGTGAATGAGTTAAAACATGTATTTTTCCTGTAATGAAGCTCTTTTGTGTTATTTCAGGAAACAGCTCCCATTACAAAACAAGTAAGTACAAATTATTATTAATGTATTCAGAATCTACAAATTTACCCGCTACATTTACAAATTAAGATTTGTAAAATATTTGATATTGAATGTCAAACTTGTTACCAAAGATGTGAGATTATTTGCAGAGAGTGCATGTATTGTATTGTTGATTTTTAAATGCTGATTAATGTGAATTTAATAGGGCCCCTATTTCCAGAGTGGGATCCCCACATTGATGACTAAATGTTAACAAATAGGCTTCTGTGTTTGCCCATTGCATGCTTGCTCTTTGTCAAATGTCTTGAGATTTGTGGGAAGAGTTAAGTCATGTCATCCTAATCATTTGTAGGTAGGGCAAACAATTGTTGTCATGTTGTTAATGAAATTGTATTTATAAACATATTTTCAGTGGGATTTATGTTTTGCTTATTTGACACATCTGCTGTTAAGATGTTTACCTCCAAACCTAAATCAATTTTGGGTTGGTTTTTGAAAGATGACATGATTTTATTTATTACTTTCAAGATTCTTAACAGCAAAACCGAATCCATCCATTCATGCTGACAAACACTAAAATGAAAGCAAATGTAAAAGGTGCTTTGTGTTTGTTTGTAGCTCACCTGGCCCGAAGTAATGAGGTCAAAGGTCAACTTTAAGTGCTAGCTTGAGTCAAAGGTCAATATGGGTTAAAAGCTTTAAAATTCAAATTTCAAATTTCAAACAACAATATCTCAGTTACCAAATTTGGTCTGAAGTTACCTATATGTCAGTTTTATTTAACAAAAGAAATAGGTGAGCAGTACAGGCCCTCTGGGCCTCTTGTTTAGGCTGACAAAGAGTTTCTTTGAAAATATATAATCAATACAAACATTTCACTTTTCTGTGGTTGTGTTGTTATCTGATGAAAACTTTGAAAAATACTAAAGAATGAACTGAAAGGTATCAAAAGTTATTCTGTGTTTGTAGACCGACGCCCCTGATTCTGGATGAGGAGGGAAGGACGATCGACGCCATGACAGGACAGGCAGTCCAGCTCCAACACCATACCCCCACGCTCAAGGTCAGACATCTTCTTACCTATTATGTTATAAAATGTTAGATATGTTAGACCCATGCACTGTTATATCAATCCATATACTAGTAGGTGTCTCCTCTCACCCCTCCCCTTCCCTCTCCCCTCCCCTTCCCTCTCCCCTCCCCTTCCCTCTCCCCTACAATCATAATAGGTGGTGACATACTTCTGTGTAACTGATGATGTTACTGCCATAAACCTGTAACAAATGTTGACAGGGCTCTTCCAGAAATATAGATTTGTGTTTGTAAGGAGGGAGGGCCCTTTTTTCTGATCTCAAACAGCCACAAATGGTTTTCCCTGCGACCTACTACATAAATAAAACAGATCTTCAATATTTTAAGTACCCACCCCCCATAATAGCAAATATTTGATGTAGGATTGCTGTCAACTTCAAGAATAACAACCCTTATTACTGATTAAAACATTTCTGTATGTTTTCAGGCAAATATCCGAGCCAAGAGAAGGGAACAGTTCAAAGGTTTGATAGAGAAACCTCCGGAGGAAATCAGCGAAAGTCGATTCTTTGACTCCAGAGTGGAGTAAGTAGCATTGTAACTTAATCTGTTGGGATAAAAACATTATTTATTATCAAGTCACACTCTTGTATCTCCATGTTAGGAATTTGGTAACAGTGGCAGAAGTCAAGTTAAGTTTATTTACCGATACAAGGTCTATAAAGATCCTCTTCCCTAACACTGAAATATTTAGCAATAGATGAATGTGAGGTTACGTGGACCTTTAACATATCTCAGATCTATAATTATATAGGAGTTCCTGGTTCTCCAAATGCTTGTCCAGTCTATAATTAAAAGTGTTTAAGGTCTGTGCTAAAACCACTTTAAGTTTTGTTGCGCATGTCTTTTTTAAGAATTTGATTGAAATTAATAAATATGTTGTTTCCTGATATTGCAGGGAAATTAAAAATAAATAAAATAGATGAACAGAAATGTGAATGATACATTCAAAAATACAAGGTACTTGAATTGGTGAATTGTTAAGTGTTTGCAACAGGTCCTTCAAGTAAATGATCCTTGTATGCAGCATTAACTCTGTCTGTTGTGCAGTTTTATTGTCGCCCTTTACCAAAACTCAAGTTTTTAAACAAGAATTGATCAATTATTGTCAACTGGCATATTGCAATTAAAAACACCTCTAAAATCAGGGAAATCTCTTGTAAATCATTGATAAGCTTTGTGTTGTAATGTGACTTCTATCTTAGATTCCACCAGGGAAAGGGCATGGGAGTTGTGGGTAGCTACACAACATTCTTAAATTAAGAAACACAAGTACTATAAATCTGTTGAATTAAGGGGTATGTGCTGCCATAAGATCTCCACTGGTGGGGATTACCACCGGCAGTAGGCAGAGTTCTAGATATGACTGGAAATAGTAATATCAAAGTTTTACTTTATGCACAAACAATGTAGGCATTAAACTCGACCCGGGACATTTCTCTTTACCCTCGATTCGATACGAATCTCGATATCTGTACCACGATTCGATTATTTCGATTCGATACACTTTTATTTTAAAATATAAACAAAATGAGATAAATAAGCCGTCAATACATGGAAACCCGACGTGTTTCCACACTTTAGATTTGAAGCTTGCCGGAGCATCAAAAATTTCCATTTCTACACCCTGCCACTAGCCTATTTGATACAGAAGTTTTATAGGGTTATACTATCTATTGAAATGTCCCAGGTCAAGTGACATAAGAAAAAAACATGCAATTTCTTCACATTGTCGTACAGGTAACCAATACAAACTGCTCACTCAGTCACAGCTTGACAAAGGGACCAGTCGGTCTTGAAAAGTTGTGACATGTTTATTATGTTGTTTGCGTTTAAAGTAAAACGTTGATATTATATATTTCAAAACTGATATGAATCATATGTTACTGAAAATATTTAACCTGAAAGTTATTGTTGTGTAATTTTCAGACCTGATTGTGCAGGGTTTATTAGTTGTTAGTACATATGATATTGTTTCAGGGCCAAGGGTGCCCAGAGACAAAGGCGTTCCTTCAAGTTCCACGAAATTGGCAAGTTTGAGCAAATGGCTGGCAGGCTTCGGGCAAAGGTACAGGAAACAGAATTTGTTGATTTATATAATTTATATTGATCATCATATAAATATTTATTTTGTAGTTATCATTATTTTGCTTTCAACTGACATCTACAGGGATCCCTAGAATTTAATTAACTTGATTACACGATACAGAATTAACTCAAATGTTATCTACCATTAACATTTTACATCTGTTACATTTGTCAGAGTTTTAATCATCATTCATAACAAATAATTTACACATTTTTATACGCCTGGTATAGTTTCTGCATCCGTCCGGTTAAAGTTTTAGTGCAGATTTTTTCAGTGGAGTACAGTTCAGTCAGAGCATGTGTTATTGTCCTAATGTTTGGCATGGATGTTAATGTGGGATCTAACAAAGACAATATGGATTTAATATGGAAATTAATTCCTATTTTTGTAAATTTTGGACGTGTTTGGGACTTAACTTTTTTCGTACAATTTTTCGGTTATAGTTTTGGTGCATTGGATAGGGTCAGACGGGTGTATTATGCATCCGTTTGCGGTGCTCTTGTTTAACTGTAAAAAAAAAATGGAATCGTTTAGGAAGCCAATATCATTAAGTGAGTGAAAGAAACAAATCCAATCAAAACAGACGCACCAATTTTCTGGTGTCTTCATTTATATTTTAGGAAATATTTTGTTAATTCACTAATAAAATTCTATCTGCATCTACACATTTATTTATTTAATTAAATGTGTCGGTAATTAGTCCCTTTTACTATAATAGTAGCAAATGTTTTTATTTATTTATTTTCAGAATTGATTGTATGCAAAATTGCACTAATTTACTTGTTTCAATCTCATTGTAGGCACAACTAGACAGATTACAAAATGAAATCGCTTATGCTGCCAAGAAGACTGGAATCGCATCAGCAGCAAAGTTAGCGACACTGGCTCCAAAGAAAGAACTAGTATGTATATATATAATAAATTGGCATAATTTGATGAATGTACCAGAAAGAGATGTACTTTTGCTGCCTCCAAATAATAACCTTATGAACATTTTAAAACATGTTTGCTGTAAATTTTGTCTAGAACATCAGAACCACGTTATACAAATTCATTTATATCCGTTGTTAATTTGCTTTCTTGGTCACTTGGTCAATGTCTCTGTGTACCCGTGTAAAACAAGGGAGACAACTCTGTAAAGTCTACGAATAATGTACCAGGTAGTTAAAAAGCTTGAGTTCTTATGGACAGAACCCAAGAAAGGTTAGAATGAATTTATTAATATCTTGATGTATGATTTTATAATATAATGTCATTGAATGGAAATTAACTGATGAAACGGGATATGATTTTGGTCAAAGAATTTCTTCAAATTCTAAGATACTAGTGAACAATTCACTGACTTTTTACATAGAAATGTAGACTATCACTCAAAATGAAGTGTAGACCACAACCAAGGTGTCATTGAGATAAATAGATTTATTATTATGATCATTATTAAATGATTCTTAACAGCCAATCAATACAATGGAGGTCATTAGGGCCAATAAAAGTAGATAAAACATGTTAAAAGGAAATTACGTCAAACAAACAAAAAGGTAAAAGGCAATCATCAACTTAAAAAATTGTAAAAATGGCTATGATTTTGTTATGTTTTTGAACAGACCATTATAGTTGTAAGGTAGTTTAGAATTGTAAAGATACAGACTCTTTCGAAAAGTGGAAGAGATAAATGGAGCCGGCAATTTTGATTCATATAATTTCATATATCATTGCCCTTATGGTAAGGAAACATGATTCTTTGCTTCCCTAAGATCAATGATGTTTCACAAAGGCAATATGATGATGGTGTATATTATATCTTATCTACACATATTGGTTTTGTTAGGATATAACTCGCCCTGCTGGGACTAAATATTTGTTATGCCCCTGCCATAAAATGAGGGGGCATACGATGTATAGTGTTGGTTGCGTCCCGTCCCTTCCATTAGCGGGGGCATTTATGTGTTACAGACATTTTCTAGTTTTAATGGTGTGTATTGTTTTACCTACACAGCAAGAAGGTGAAGTCCCTGACATGGAGTGGTGGGATGCCTATATCCTCACTGGTGACAGGTAAGACATACCAACGCTATAGCGGAAGTCTTTATTGTGGTTCAATTTCTTTGTTTACATAATTATGTGGATAGATTTGTTGGGAATGTATATCTCAGAAATAACCTAAAAAAGTTGAAGTTTTGGATCAATAAAAGATATAAACCATGGGGACATTGGTATTTGATTCACCTTTTCACTCGTGGATTATCGTTTATTAGGTCTGCATCGATATATCATATTGTATACTTTCTTGTGTATCATATCTAATTGTTTTGTTTGCCGATATTACAATACACTAACAGTACTTAAATTATCGATCAATTTTTTAACCAAACTTTAAAAAAGTGTTCTTATATGTTTTTAATACTTCAGTAAAGTTGCGGTTCACTGTGCAGTCATACCCAAAAGTACTAGAAAATTGTAGTATTTACTTTAAAAGTCTATGACAAAACACATTAAAATCCTGCACTCAATCACTATGAAGTTGACCTTTTAAGCAGGTTTTTGTATCGTGATCCGTATCGTATAGTAAGCATTGTACTGCGAATCGTATCGTGAGGTATGCATATCGTTGCAGCACTATCGTCTATAACTACTAAATACTTTCTACAGTAGTATCACTAATTCATTTACTATTGTGGATGGTCAGCATGGAAATAAATCAGGAGAGAAAGACTTCGGAATAGCTTTCTTTATCTAGTGTTAGTGTAAAACGTTCCCCAGGTGTTGAGTACGGTGCTAGTATCACTGTTGCTGCATTGTAATTGTATCCTGGGACATAAAGTGGGACTGTGTCGTCTCCTTCATTCTTCTACTCATGAGGACTTGGAAAACAGACATACGCCGAACATTTATAAGTGAAATTCCTTTGGTTTACATTGATTCAAGTTTAAAATGAGGAACCCAAGTTAACCCATTTACCACTGTAGACCATAATGGACACATCCAGATCAATGCATGGTAGTGCCTACATATGTTATATAGGGGTGAAACGGTTCTTGTCAAGTAAAAATTGGAGAGAACCAACATCCTGGTTGTGTATGGTCATAGGCTGTTGTAGGAATTTTGTCAAATGTTTGGATTAAATTTTGCCCTTTTAATTGACTTGAATTATAGTTCCTGCATCATCAAAATCCAAAGGACACCATATACTTTGTCTACCATTATCCTATCATGACAGAATCAAAGTCCCTGCACCAGCTAGCTTGCAGACGATGAGTTGACTAGTCTGGAAATTGTTGCAAAATCGTGTATTAATGTGATGTCAGTGTAATGATTAATTAACGATAAAAAGCAATCAAGCGGCAGTGGAATGATAAAATTTAACTGTTTTGATCTCAGCTCTTTGGACAATCTTCAAAGTACAGGTACCACTGTCTATAAGCCTAGCGATCGGTCACATAGCTAATGCTAAGCCTTCGATTCTGTCGTAATGTAATTGAAGTGTGCATAGAATATATGGATACTAAGAGCGTAACCTTCGTTATTTTGAAGGTGCAGTCCACTACAATTAGTATTTTTCCCCTAAGTAGTAGGTAGTTTAAAATCAATCAGTCTTCAATATAACAAAATATCATCGTATATAATTTTCTGTTTTCATATTTGTGTAGTTATGAAGAAGACGTCAAAATTGAGCGCGACATATTGTACGGCATCACAAACTTAGTTGAACATCCCATACAGATGAAGCCACCAGGTTTGTATTGGTAGACGATGGGGTATTACACATGTACAGGTAGTATTGGTAGACGATGGGGTATTACACACGTACAGGTAGGATTGGTAGACGATGGGGTATTACAGACGTACAGTTAGTATTGGTAGACGATGGGGTAACACACATTTACAGGGAGTATTGGTAGACGATGGGGTAACACACATTTACAGGTAGTATTGGTAGCCGATGGGGTATTACACACGTACAGGTAGTATTGGTAGACGATGGGGTATTACAGACGTACAGGTAGTATTGGTAGACGATGGGGTAACACACATTTACAGGTAGAATTGGTAGACGATGGGGTGTTACACATGTACAGGAAGTATTGGTAGACGATGGGGTATTACACATGTACAGGTAGTATTGGTGTTCACACAGTCCATTGAAGTATTCTCCTTTCATGTAAGATACCCAACTGAATGGTGCCTTAAGGGAAGAGTGGAAGGAAGTAGCTCACAATCTTTTAGTCGGGTATTTTTTCAATAATATTGGTACAGTCGAACCTGCTCATGTAACCCCCTTTATTTCTTACTTTCTTTATTAGCCCTCTATTTTGAGACCCCTGTATCGAACCTGCTCATGTAGCACCCTTATTTCTTACTTTATTTATTAGCCCTCTATTTTGAGGCCCCTGTGTTAATAGACCAGTTTAAATGTTTCCCATTGTAGTTAATTCTTTGTTTATTAAGAGACAACCTGTGATAAGAGACCTTTTTAATGGTCTCTTTAAATAGGTTTCACTGTATCAAATATTCAGATATCTTGGCCGACCATAGGTCTCTATGACAGAGTGCTGACTACAACAAATTTGGGAGAATTTACTAAGGTTTTGTTTCCATAAGTAAAGAAAGACATGTTTCTTACTGGCCTTTTAATTCTGATTTATGGCATTACTGTTCTGAAAACCCCCCAGTTAAAAATATAATTTTAAGTATGTAGTAAATTTGATAAATTATGCTGCTGCAGTTTTATGAAAAGGTTTCATAGTACTGAATAAAATTAAATTATGTGTGAGATATTTTTCAGTGCTGTCACTTTTTACTGATTTGTTTCATGAGCATGAATGTCACATTATCAACTTCATGATGTTTAACAAAGAAAAGCAAATGAAGGGTCAGAGGCAAAACAATGAAAAATTATGAACAAGTTAGCCAGGTTTCAATGTCTTAATTAACTTTGGGCTTTGGGTCTCTATGGTAAAAAGTCCATGGTTAACATGGTACAGTACACGTTTGTCATTAGGGATATAATAAATAGGCCCCATCCCCAGGTGTTGAGTACGGTGCTAGTATCACTGTTGCTGCATTGTAATTGGATCCTGGGACATAAAGTGGGACTGTGTCGTCTCCTTCAATCTTCCACTTATGAAGACTTGGAATACAGACATACGCCCAACATTGATGTGTATGACAATCAAATCATTGCCGCTTTGTCTTCCTCAGATCAATGTTGAAATCTTTTAAGAACCCAAAACTGTGTACCTGAGGTATTTTTTGTTCAGGGAATAACTTTTGTTGTTTAACCATTTTATTTAAGAAAGAAAAATGTCCTAGTTTTGTTTTGCTGATTAATTCCTGGACGCTTCTTGACAAGTACAGGTATAAGAACCATTTTTTGTTTTTGTTGTAGGAATTTTTCAATTTTCTGAATTTTGCTTATTTCAAAGAATGAAATGGGACATATATATCACTTTTGAATTTATATAAACGCATTAGTGTATGTAGCAAAGGGATGTACAGTAAAACCTCAATATAACCCTTTCACCCCTGTAGACCATTATAGACTCACCCAGATAAATGTATGGTAGAGTCTACTAAAGTTACCTAGGGGTGAAATGGTTAATGCCCCTTGTTTCATGTGCCACCTCGTTTACTGCCAACTGATTGCAGTGTCCTTTTTTCTTGTTTTCTTAATAATTCTTTTATACATGTCCCTCAGATTCTTCCCTGCAGGTAGGGCGTAAGAATTGTACCTGCTGCCCCCATTGCATGATCGTAAGAGGCCACAACATTTGGAATCATGTCTTTTCTCTTCTTTCAAAACAACTTTCTTCTTCCTAATGTCTTCCTTGACAATGCTTCACTTTTGGCCTTTAGTTGAGCGTTCGCCCCTGTGAGGAAGGCTTTGGGTTTCTGTCCCCTGGCCGAGACATACCAAATCTGTAAAAATGGTAGTTTCTACTCCTGCTTAACGCTCAGCAATGTAGGCGTGGGACGACTGGTTTGCCCGTTGTCAGTATAATGTGGCCGGCTGGGGTGTCCTGCAGGGTGTCTTCGGCAGTATGTATCAGAGAGGTAGCACTATAAAGTCGGCATCAGTTTCGCGCTATCACAAGGAGACAAACACAAACATATTGCAGCCTTCCAAAACACACACGCACACACTACACGCATGCATCTTGCACACAGGGAAGGCCGTCCTTAAATGACCATAGCTGTTAATAATACATTAAACGATACTATAAATCAAACCAAACCAAACCAATCCCTCAGATTATTGCCAAACCCCTTTATAACGATAACATTTATCTTGACAAGTGGTGGCAGTATAATGAGGGTTTACTGTACCAAAACAACCACTCATTCTACCATCGCTTCATCCACTTCTGAAACTGAAAATCTGCAACTTTGAATGTAGTAAAAGGAAACTTCAAAAAGTACCATTCTAGTTAGTTAAAGGGATATGTCTTCATGTAGACATATTATTTTGTCCTACCCTTTATCGAAGTGAAGACATTTTTATCTAATTGATGATTTTTTTTAATTGGAACACAATAAAATTTGAAGAACAAAAACCCAGTAAAATTGTGAAAAAGGAGTTAATTAGGTCACCTGAGGTTTCGCTCAAGTGATGTATTGCTCTCAGTCGTTATCAGTCGTCCGTTTACATTTTCAACACAAGCTGAAATACTGTAGATGGGATTTCATTGATAATATTACTGACATCTCCCTGACCAAGTGTTGTTCTTTTTCGGGTCGATCAGTAATCCAATATGGCTGCCGCCGTAGCCGCCATTTTGAAAAACTATTTTAAACTTAAAACTTAGTTCCACTGAACCTTGGTAGGAATGATCAACTCATGATCCTGGCAAATTGTTAGACCACGGCCACCATTTTGGAAAAAATAAATATTTCAAACTTAAAATCAAGTTCTAATAGGCCGATTTAACTGAAACTCGGTCTAGGAATGATCAACTCATATGGTCCCGACAAACTTAACTTAACGTTATACATAACTATTTTTTACTCAAATTAGTAGGGATAATTGACATCATTATCTCCACTTCATATTTCAACAACAAAAATAAATACTGTAGGACTCAGGTGACCGTTAAAGCCCATGGGCCTCTAGTTTTCATTAAAGATTCGGTCTGTATACTGATGAAAGGAGGGGTGGTTACTACACAGTTTAAACACCTATATATCAATTTTCCCTTTCCAGCTGAACCAGAGACAGATCCAGAGATACCTGTTTACCTAACAAAGAAAGAGCGGAAAAAGTTAAGGCGACAAAACAGACAAGAAGCCCAAAAAGACGAACAGGAAAAAATAAGACTTGGTTTACAACCCCCTCCAGAGCCAAAAGGTATAGTGAAAGTCTGGGCTTTTGACCTCTACTTTTAACCTACTATAAATAAATAGGTGGCTCATCCCTTAGAAGTGCCCCTATCCTTTTTGTATGTCCCGTCCTGCCCCACGTTTGGTAGGTATTTACAATTAGGTCTGTTACGGTCTAACGTATAGCAGGATGTTTCTGCAGGGATATTTTCACAATTTCCTGGGTCTATAATGTGATCGCAAAAATATGATCCACAGAATAATATGACAAGTGTATTAAAAAATGAGTCGTGATAATGAACTTCATAACCGTAATACAGGATGTTTGAAAATAGATTAAATCAGACATCTTATAGTTTCGCTGATGTTTTGCTAAACAAAATTTGCTAACTTGTTATTGCAAACTATGCTGTAAAACAAGAGTGTTCATTTAACACTTTATTTGCTGTGAGCCCTGTCTGTGCTAAAACACCATGACAATTTACCTCCTTCACATATCTAGATTACAAAATTAGAATCTGTGGAAATTTATTTTCTAATTTTGAGTCTAAATCTTGGAAATTTAAGCCAGTGTAAGTATATAACCTGTTCTACAGTAAGAACTGCAGCTAAGGTCACCCAACTCCACACATTAGAAGATGTTGCATTATATTTTTGTGACTTTGACCTTCACCTCTGTGACCTTGGCAATATTTTTGCATTTAGTTCTATTATGGATGAATAACTGCAGCTCGAGTCATGCAATTTCATATTTACAATCACTTTTTTCATAATCTACAAACTAAATTGAAAAAAAAAGGTCAGGTAGAATAAATAGGCCCCATCCCATCCCCAGGTGTTGAGTACGGTGCTAGTATCACTGTTGCTGCATTGTAATTGTATCCTGGGACATAAAATGGGACTTTGTCATCTCCTTCAATCTTCCACTCATGAGGACTTGGAATACAGACATACGCCCAACATTGCTGCCGTAGATTTTAAAGTTCTCCAATGCATAAATATATAAAAACCACATGGATGTTGCTTTCTTCCTTTGATCAATATTGAAATGTTTTAAGAGGCCACGAAATCAATCTGAGGCATTGTTTGTTCTGGCACTTATTTTCTATATTCGACCATTTTATCTTAGAGAAAGGAAAGTACTCTCCCAGTTATGTTTTGCTTATAAATTCCTGGCTAATTCGTGACTAGTGCAGGTAATGTAATTGGTTAAGCTTTTGCATATAGGTCAGCTATTGACTAAATACTGCGTACTGCTGTAGGACTTTTTTGTCTGAAGATGATGAACCTAATAAAATGTGTCTCTAGCTTCAATTTTTTCCTCAATTTGTTCCCTTGATGAGTATCTTTTGACATTGAGATTAGCCAGACTGATGATATTTGACCTCTGTTTTTGAATTTAAATTTTATTTGAATGGTTACAGTAAGAATGGCTAACCTGATGAGAGTTCTGGGAAATGAAGCAGTACAAGATCCTACAAAGATTGAGGCACATGTTCGCGCTCAGATGGAAAAACGTCAGAAGTAAGTGTCGCATTAAGGATCCCTGTCCCACTGCACCGAGCTATTTCCTATATACAATAAGCTCCCCTTAACTACCGTTCGGATTTAACTGTAGTACAGTTGGGCTAGGATAGTTTTGTTGACCAGGAAGCTCTATCAGCTAGAGCTATGGTATGACAATTCGAAGTTCAGGGTTTGAATCCTGGTCGTCTAACCCAGCTGACTTTTTACACTCTGACGTTATTGTTGATGGTTTTTCGTTCATTTCATCTTTATTATTTATTTCTATTCCGTCTTTGCATATTGCAGAGTTATCTTCTCTTGTGAGCAGGTATTGATTGTTATGTCATTGGTTTATGTGAGAAAATTACGTCGTTTTCTCAAAAAATTATGACGCTACTCTCACAAACAAATGACGTAACAATCAATCCCTGCTCACAAGAGAAGATAACTCTGCAATACGAAAAGACGGAATAATGCCTGCAGGGTAAGTTTTTCTTTTCAGAAATGATTTATCAAAGCTATAGTGATGCTCTAGTAGAGGCTGTATATAACAATATGGTTATGTTTATAGACAACACGAGGAAACAAACGCAGCAAGAAAGTTAACGACAGAACAGAGAAAGGAAAAGAAAGCGAAGAAAATAAAGGAGGATGTTTCTCTTGGTGTCCATGTTAGTGTGTACAGGTAGGTGAGGAGTAATTCATGTATAGGTACAAATGATACATGGTCCAGTGATGCCACATATGTGTAATGTTTCATCAAAATATATGTAGTCAATCCAAAGTTATGTCTTGCAACACAAATTGGATGCAAGTCCATTTAACGTTTTGACCTGTAACTGTGACCATGACTTTTAGTTCAAGGGTGAAAATAGAAAGTCTAAGATGTTCGGACATGTGACCATTGAAATGTAACTTTGACATGTTACGGTCACCATGACTTTTAGTTTAAAGGGAGATGAAAGTAGTATAGTGAAATCCACTTAATGTTGCATTATAGAATGTCAAATCTTGTCTTTTTAAAGGTCGGCGGAATTATTGAGAAAAATATATTATATTGAACTGATGAAATGTAAAATATATGAATTATAGAAAATTCAATAAAAATAAAAAATAATAATTTAACTTTTACTTTTATTTTGTTTCTGTGAAATATTGACACTATTAAAGTGACAATTTAGTGAAGTAAGTTTTTTTATAACCTTGTCACAAAACTCTTCATTGTTATGTAGTTTAATACTCCCTATGGACAATTCATGTCAAGAAATTGACTAGAGACAATGTTTTCTTGGCGTTTTTAATCAGTAACAGAGAAATCCTTAACTGTACAGCCATACGATTTAGCGGCAGCTGTCGGTAAATTTCTAGCTAACAAAAATGTCTTTCCAGCCCATGATAGAAGGTAACTTCAAAATAGGTAACTTCAAAATCAAAATCATCTTCCAACAGCATTTCAAACATTGTTATAAATGAGTGATCTATTTAACGTTTAAACCTATTGATATCGTACTTTCTGCGGTTTGAAATTCTCCCTGCGGCACCTCTCAATGCACCTCAATGCGTGCATGCTCTAATTGAACCTGTTCGTTTTCATTCAAATCCAAATGTGAACAGAAATATCTGATTAGAGGTATATATTATGATACTTATAATTCTTACTCGCGATGTATTGTGTAAATTCAAGAATGTGTTATGTGTGAACTCAGACTCATAGCTGACATGTGTTGTCGGTCGACAGCGTAGTGCTGTACATGTTTACTTCTCACTGAAAGGCCCGGATACTGAGCTATTTTGTTCGTAGCTATTTTTATCACAGGCTTTTCCAAAAGATGAAACTGACCACACTGGATGGTTGGCTTCTGGTCATGTCATTATCAACTACATAAACTTTTGTTAGTTGATACTCTATCGTTTCATGTAAACAAAAAAAAATACTTCACTAAATTGTCCCTTTCATTGAAAAAGAAGATGTATAATGAAAAACAGACAATATCAGGCAGAATTATTTCTTCATCAGTACATTTTTGCAATTTAGGCAAGGATCCTTTTCCTTAACTAGCTAGTAAGAAACCTTTCCCAGACACACATACAGATAGACAAATAATGTTTTACACTGATAGGACCAGTAGCTAATCAATTGTTTTGTTTTGTTTTGTCTTTGCAGGATACGAGAGTTGACCAACGCTTCCAAAAAGTTTAAGATAGAAACCAATGCCAAACAGCTGTATATGACGGGAATTGTGGTGCTGTATAGGGACTGTAACGCTGTCGTGGTGGAAGGAGGTAGGTCTGAACTAAGTCTGATAGTGGAGGTAGATCCTAGTGTTACTCAGCTGTCTAATGGTGGAACGAGGTTCTGATGCAACTCAAATTGTAACTCAAATTGCTTGAAAATGGTTTTCCTCCAACACGAAAACCTGGCGTGTCTTTAAGTGACAATATCTGTTAATGGGACATACACAAACAAACCAAACCAAAAGATTTTGTAATAGTTGAAATTGATAAGGCCTTGCTGTCCTTACATAAAACTTGGGTATGATTTGTAGGGCCTAGACAACAGAGAGGTTCCAAATGTTAGATGTTACATTTTGTATAATTTGTAGGGCCTAAACAACAGAGAGGTTCCAAATGTTAGATGTTATATTTTGTATAATTTATAGGGCCTAAACAACAGAGAGGTTCCAAATGTAAGATGTTACATTTTGTATAATTTGTAGGGCCTAAACAACAGAGAGGTTCCAAATGTTAGATGTTACATTTTGTATAATTTGTAGGGCCTAAACAACAGAGAAAGTTCAAACGACTGATGTTACATCGTATAAAGTGGGAGGAAGATCATCACAAAGGAAAGAAGAAAGACGACGGTAAGGCTCGTGTAAAATATATACCTGTGACGTAATACTACACTCTTTGGAAAAAGATATCAAAGATATACACTAAAACTTTGTTATACTGCCACTATTTGTTAACTGAAATTTTGGCATTATAAAGGGGTCTGGAGATAAACTGAGGGAAATATATAAAGAACTCCTAAGTAAACAAAAAAAGGGACATTTAAATATATTGGAAGTAAACAAGGTATCAATGTTTTACTGCATGTTACCTTACTGTGACGGGCAACAACTTTCCAGGAGGTTATTCGAATTTTAAAGGTATACAAGATTATAGGCATTATATCGCACATACATTTCAAGTTTTAAGGGAGAGAACTTAACCGGTAATCCAATTCAAAATTTACATGTTCAGAAATGAAAGCGTTTTGGAAAATTTTGAAATGTTGTGTAATGTTTACCACACATTGGTCTGTTGAAGCTTGATTTGTAGAAGCACTGGTGCAAAAATTATTCCAAAATGTTTGCAACAAGAAAGCAGCATTCTGGAATATGTTAGGAAATGTTTGAGAAAGTTTTCTCTTCAGAACATGTCCCATGCATCATGTGATGTACTTGAATACTTTCAAATCGACTTTACAGGAAGCCACTTTAATACCAATAAAGGAATAAAGCAAGGAAGCATCCTGGAATATATAACAAAATATTCTAGAAGGTTTTCTCTTCCAAACTTTTACATTTTTAGCTCACCTGGCCCAAAGCTCACCTGGTGCGGCGTCCGGCGTCAATATTTTACTTTAGATAACGTCTTAATAACCACAAGCCCTAGGGTGATGATATTTGGCCAGAAGCAAACTGGGATGAAGGGCTACCAAGTTTGTTAAAATAGTTGACCTTCACCCATAATCAATGTCACATGGGTCTTTGTTAAAAACTTTAAACAACTTTTTCTGAATAACCAAAAGGACCAGGATGGTGATATTTGGCCAGCAGCATGATCGGATGAAGGGCTACCAGATTTGTTCAAATGAATGACCTTCACCCATTTTCAAGGTCACAGGGGTCAAATATGTTAAAAACTTTAAACGACTTCTTAATAACCAAAATGCCCAGGGAGATGATATTTGGCCAGTAGCATGCTGGATTGAAGGGCTACCAAGTGTGTTCCAATAAATGACCTTCACTCATATTCAAGGTCACAGGGGTCAATTGTCTAAAAATGAACTTTAAAAAACTTCCTCTGAATAACCGAAAGGACCAGGAGGTTTATATTTGGTCAGGAGCATGCTGGGATGAAGGGCTACAACGTTTGTTAAAATGAATGACCTTGACTCATATTCAATTCACAGGGGTCAAATATGTATAAAAACCTTTAAACGACTTCTGATGAATAACCATGAGGCCCAGAATGTTGATATTAGACCAGTAGCATGCTTGGATGAAGGGCTACCAATTTGTTGAAATGAATGACCTTGACTTATTTTCAAGGTCACAGGGGTCAAATATGTTTAAAATCTTTTAAACAACTTTTTTTGAATAACCAAAAGGCCCAGGATGTTGATATTTAAGCAGTATCATGCTAGGATGAAGGGCTGCCAAGTTTGTTAAAATGAATGACCTCAACATTTATTCAAATTGTCACAGGAATCAAATACAGTCAACCTGCTTGAGTGGTCACCTGAAATAAGCAGCCACCTCCCTTATGTGGTCAGTCTGTGGTCCGCCCTATAGCAAAAACTACATAATGAACCTGAAATATGCGGCCAGTGGTCACAAAACTCTGGCCCGAGACGTTATCTCCACTGGTACTCAGTAGTCATTTCGTCTGGAAACTGACATCAAAAAGATCACAATATATATATGTTCAAAATCTTTAAATGACCAGTAACATGTTTGGATGAAGGGCTACCAAGTTTGTTCAAATGAATGACCTTGACTTAAATTCAAGGTCATAGGGGTCAAATATGTTTAAAATCTTTAAGCAACTTCTTCTGAATAACCATGAGGCCCAGAATGTTGATATTTGGCCAGTAACATGCTAGGATGTAGGGCTACCAAGTTTGCTCAAATGAATGACCTCCACTCATATTCAAGGTCACAGGGGGTCAATTGTCTTAATAACCAAAAGGACCAGGATGGTGATATTGGTCTGTAGCATGCTGGGATGAAGGGCTATTAAGTTTGTAAAAATGAATGAGCTTGACTTATTAGCTCACCTGGCACGCCGTCCGTCCGTCCGTCCGTCCGCCCGTCCGTCCGTC